AAAAAAAAAAAAAAAAAAAAAAGCAAATATTAAAAGAAGCCAGAGGAAAGCAAGAAGGCACTGCCTTGAAAGGGCAACAGTGAGACTGCGGAACAGAAATTACAGAAGCCAGACGACATCGTAAAGTACTAACTGAGGCTATTCCACGTAGGGAAAATCTCCTTAACAGTTTAAGACAGAACAAGTATTTCTGAAACAAAAGCAGAGAGAAATCATCACCAGCCGCCCTGAAACGTATGGAAGACAGTTCTTCAGGCTGAAGGCAAACAATCCCTGAGAGAAGAAAGGGTCTGCAGAAGGGTATGAAGAGCATTGAAAAGGGCCAAGGTGTGGGCAAATATATATAAAACAAACAAACCCAACATTCTGAAACAACGTCTTTTGGGGTGTGTAACACATGTATTAGTAAAATAAATTAAAACGAGCCCAAAGCATGGTAGGGGTTAAAAAGGGTTCAACTGTTATAAGGTTCTCACACTCACAGGGATATGATAAAGTACTAATTTAAGGTGGGCTATAATAAAACAGTGATATACATTACAATCTCTGTGATAACCACTAAAGAAATGTATAAGGATATAAAACTAAAAAGCTTATAGAAGATAAACTGATTTATAAACAGTACTTGATTAATCTAAAACTGCACATTACCATTTATCATCTATCAGGTTGGTAAATATTCAGAAGCTCGATACCATATTCTGTTGTCATGCTTGACTAGTGGGAATGTAAAATGGTACAATCCCCAAAAAGAGGGATATATAACATCTACCATAAATTGCTACGCATTTACCCATTCACACAGTAATTCTACTTCCGGAAATCTATCTTGCAGATAACACTGAAAAAAAATACAAAGGCTGTATTTCACTGCAACAGAACCAGTAGCAAAAAAACTGGAAATAACTGGATCTACACAATGGAGTACTATGGCAGCGTCACAAAAGAAATGAGGAATCAGTCTCTTTCTCAACCTCTCCCAGTACCTAGTAAATGACACTCAAAAAATGTCCATGTTCAGGGGTTCACAAGAATTCTGCAGCAGGGTATGTTATCTGAGAGCTGAGTGACACGGCAGCAAAAGCAAAGCAAAACAACAACAACAACATCAACTGCTTCTTAAACTTCCTTCCCAGATGCTGAGGCAGAAACCTGAAAAAGTTTCAAGAACCAGTACACATGTGACCGCATGTACATACACTGCGTTGCTTTAAAAAAAAAAAAAAAAAGAAACAGTTGATGGAAAATTACATAAACACACATTTAGCAAGGGCAGAGCTGACAAGCTTCCATAATACTTCAGAAAATTGAAATTAATCAAGACTGAAGTATACAAATAGCCTACAGACTATATGGAAACATTAGCAATGGAGTTATAAAACAATGTTAAAACGTAAATTTTGTTTAAGGAAACTAAAGACAGTATTCTACACTAGAGAGAATTTAACTGGATTTGTAATTATACAAGTTATTTTTGGTTATACTGAGATTTCAAGAGTCACTGTTGTGTCTACTGTAGATAAGGTCTCTGGGTTTTAATACATTAATCTGATAAAATGAGTCTAGTGACTGATAATTCAGCAGAGAAATCTTTCCTCTTGGGCTCATATGAAGACTGATTGTCTTATGGGTGAAATTTTATTATACCATAAAAAACTCATGATTTAAATCCATGCAAAATAGGTAAGCAGGTACCATAATCATCAATGTAATCACCTGAGATGTTTTAGTCTTCTATAGTTCAAAACAAAACAAAACTAAGTCAGTCTTGGTATAAACTCTGTACGGTTTTCTAACAAGATTTCAATTCAGAAAAAGAAAAAGAACAAAAGAAAGTATCACAGTTATTATATTTAAGGTGAAAATGTACATGCATTCTATTTTTAAAAACAGGTTACAAGTTCATGAAAACTTCCTAATACCTATTTACGACAATAGGTAACCAGTAAAAATCGCACTTAACTAATTATTAAGGGTTTTCAGGGGAGGACAGATTTGAAAGTATTAACTTACTAGCTCCGCTTCCAATTGTTCTGTGGAAAAGTTGTGACATCCGAGGACCAAGAGGACCAAACAGGTGAGGGGGAAGACCCCTGGCCTCTAACAGAGCTAAGGAAAAAAAAGGGGGGAGGGACGGGCAAATTGAGTTGGTTTAATGCAGTGATCTTATTCACCCGATAATAACTGATTTCGGTCAATGTTACTTTCCATTCTGAACTTTAAAAGATGCTGCATTAAACTTTTAAGACCACTCTAATATATTAATGTTATTAATACATATTAAAACACCTCTGCTCAAGCATAACAACGATCGTGAGGATGGCGCAGGACAGGGCAGTGTTTTGTTCTGTGATACACAGGGTTGCCTGAGTCGGAACCGACTCGACAGCACCTAACAACAACAAAACACTTAGGTTCCAGCCCAAAGTATCTAAAAGTTGTATGAAGATACTGAAAATCAGTATCGGCAGGAACTCATGTAAACGGTCTCCCAAAAAAAACCTAAGGCAAATATTTATTTTGAAGAAATTATACATTAAGAAACCCTGGTGGAGTAGTAGTTAAGAGTTACAGCTGCTAACCAAAAGGTCAGCAGTTCGAATCCACCGGATACTCTTTCGAAACTCTATGGGGCAGTTCTACTCTGTCCTATAGGGTTGCTATAGTTGCAATCGACGGCAATGAGTTTGGTTTTTTTTTTTTTATTTTTTTGGTCCCACTTTCCTCTCTGGTAGTATTTCCCAATGAGATATTGGACATGATGCCTTCTAAAAACATACGAAAAACAGCATATTATTTTTATCAGTTCCAAATTTGAAAGTGAGAAAAACTATGTGTTTATGAGAGTTCTTTCCCAGTTAAAAGGGGATAGTTTTAAGTTCCTTCAGGAATTTAACAGCAATCTGAAACTAATCTATAAATGTTTACTGTTAAGTCTTACAATGGAGACTTATAAACCAACCACCTCAGATTAAAAAACTTATCTATCCATTTGTAAAGAGCATATGATAAGCATATGATAATGTAAGTCTGATTTTTATAAAAGCAAATAAAACACTTAAAAAGTCTGGAGTTCAGGTATACACTTTACATTCATTTTGAAACAGGTGATCAAAAAGACAAAAGAACATGGCAATAAAGCACCCTATGAGATGCATTCATAATATCAGGTACCTGAGAACAATATATTAAGCTATCTCTTTTTCCAAGATGTTTTGTAATTTGTTACTGTAAAGTCAGCTACAGATGTATCGCAATAAAAAATTTTTAAAAGCAAGAGTACACATAAGGCTTTGACTTTGAGCTCAACAGCAGAAATGAAGAGGCAGAGTGCCCTTCTTTCAATTCCGAATCATCCAACTGTGACCAAATGAGAAATTTTGGAGGTGCAGGTGCTGCTAGATTATGTTCAGATAAACTTATCTGAGATAATTTCAACGAAGATTTGTAGTAACAAGCAGTTCATGGTAACAGTGACTTGTAAGCTCAATAACTGTCTTTTTTACCTTGTAATCGTCCCATCTCAGAATCATCTGATTCACTCTCCCCAGAGGTGGTCATGCTGACGGCCCCTGCGACAGAACTAGAGGCTTCAAGGGGGAGATAAAAAAGAGGCGAGGGTTAGGGAAGAGTACTTAGACACACACTGTCTGGCTGATCTTACAAACGGCAAGCTTTACAGACTACAAGGAATAAAGGAATTAAACTTGGCTTCCCACCACACACTCAGCTGTTTTTCCAGACTTCACATGGTAACTTTTGTGAACATCTAAGGATGGTTCAACTATCTCAGTGTTAAATAAGCATAAAATACCCTCTTTGCATTTCATCTCTTCATGGCTTTTGACAGATCCCTGACGTCTTTAGATCTTGTCCTGAACTCCTCTACCGAAAGGCAATGAAGAAAGACTGCTAACACCATCGTGGTATTAACAGATGACCAATTAAACAATCAGAACCATAACAGAGAGCGAAACTGACATTTGGGGAAAATGCTCTACGTAGCTGGTGTGCCATCTTAAGTCTGCTTTATTCCTGGACTGTGGTCTTGACACAATCATTTATCTGCCTTCTCTAATTTCAAGAGTGTGCAAAAATTACACCCTTTTATTTCCAGGACAAAATCGTGAAGATACCATTACAACTAACAGATGACCACAAAACACTGCTATGAAGTATGAAACACAGGGCGCCGAAGATGTCAGATCTAATGAGCAACGAAGAGTTCAGACTCAGAAGGATTCCACTACCCAAAATATTAACCCCTCCAATAATTCAGTCCAAGCTAATAAAGGCTGATCCTATTATGAACCTGACAAGGAGATGAAGCTATATTCCCACAAAACTAGCAGTTCACAGTCCCTCAATGTATGTGTTGAGTCCTAAACCTTATTTTAACACAAGCAGTTGATCTACGGAAGATCTCATCATCCACAATACCTTAAAGCCATGTACACATGACAGAAAATAACAGAAGGGAAGCCAGAAAGAATATTTTTGCCATAATTGTTAAAAAGGCATACGAATACACGTATGAATTTTAAAGAGCTTTTCTGAAGAGATGATTATACAACAAGCAACTCTGTATTTTCATAATACTTTTCTTCACACACCATATGTAGTTTCTGTAATTTCATTGGGATTTTAAAAATATTCTTGGGAAAATTTACGGTTCAGAATAGAAGTCAGCAAACTATGGCCTACAGGCCAAATCCAGGCCTCCACATTCATGTGTAAATACTGTTTGGTTAGAACATAGCCATATCCGTTTGTGTACTGCCTGAGGCTGCTTATGAGCTACAACCAGAGAGTTGAGTAGTTGCAACAGAGATGGTATAAAGCCTAAAATACTATCTGTAAATAATATTTGGTCCTTTACAGACAATGCTAGCAATCCCATGGTTTAGAGATACAGGCTAACTAGAAATACTAATGTTAAAGGGTATCAGAGTTGAGCAAAAACTCCACTTTTGGTGAAGAAAAGGAGATAGCCAATAACTGCACTCTATAATGCTACTTACAGATGGCATTTAGTAAATCCTTGCTCTATGTAGGCACTGTCTGTCTGTTTCCTCATAGTCTTACGAAGAGGTATTATAAGCTTTATCATGTACATGAGGCAACTGAGTCTTTGTGACTGAGTGTACTTACTCAAAGCTAGACAGCTGATAATGGGTCAGAGATTTGAATCCAGGCAGTCTGGCTTCACAGATTGTACTCATACGAACTGTACTCTATCAGCTCCTTAAATACATTCTTCAGTGGCAATTTTAAATTCAAATACAGTTGCTGCTTCACGTTATACAGAAACCCTGTTAACAAATACTATTAGTAGGGCCCCAATTATGACTGAATTTGTTAAACTGATTTGTACACTTGTTTTAAAATTCTTCCAGTTATGTGAACAGTAAACACAAAGTTTAAGAAAGATGAAGTAGCTCGGTTCTTTTTTAAGCAGTCTGGAACCCACATATTAGAAAACAAACAAAACAAAACATATCCTTGTTAAAATAATGGTGGTTTTTTTAATCTATCAAAGAGGCTACTGGTTTTACTTTTAAAAGTTCTGTAGACCTACAATCTGATTTGAAAGGTGTCTACTTTATTTCCTAAATACACTATTCTATTTACCATAAGGAAGGATAAGTACCTCAAACTGTACTGTCACAGAAGATCTTAACCAAGACATTAAAACCTGTGAGGGTACATAATTAAAAAAGCTGTTGTGGTTCTATTCTGGTGGGGTCCCAACCATGAGGGAGGCACAGAAACACTGTAAGAACGGGAAAGGACATTCTCATTTTTAATGGGGGTGGAGCGCCTGTTTGGACAGGGATCAGTTACTGGACCCAAACAAAAACTGCAAGATCCATTTGCCAGCCCTTTGAGGGAAAGTATTAACTATGTGTTCATTGTAATTCCCTGTATTTAAGTTTTCCTAAATTAGATAAACCCCATTAGCCTAGCCTTTGAGCTAATTTAATTCAGAGCAGCAGTTTGTACAGTCATACAGGTGAGAAAATGTAATCAGTCAATACCAGCCGGGCAATAAAGTTCTTCAGTGGCAGCTTCAAACCTAGAGCTAAGCATACATGCAGCAAAAGATGTGTCCCCAGAGACAAATACAAAATATAGTTATCAGCAGGGAAAATCCAATGCTAGGTTTTAAACAGTGTCTAATTTTTTTTTTTTTAAGTTATTTTTCCTGTGAAGTCTTGGCAAATCTTCATAGCACCATGTGAAATAGTTTACAACACACATGTGAATGAAAACAATAGAGGAAATATTTTGTTAAATCAGCATATAAGAATTTTATTTTGGAGCTCCAAGTTTTCATGCTTTAACTGATGCAGTCTCTCATGCGGCAAACAAACAGAAAATATTAAAAAGCTTGTGGAAATAAATTTTACTTGACAGAAACTGCCTAATATGTTTACCAGATGCACAAATAAGAGACAATAGGAAGACTTTTCTGGAGTGTCATGAAAACTTTGGCGTAAAGCCAGAAGAATAGTCGTCAGGAATGTAATTATACCTCAGTAAGGGTCCCACCATCAAGTAAGATGGTAGCAATATAATTTGTTCTGGTACTAAGCAAAAGTAATTAAGGAGGCAAAAGTTCACAAAACTGGGTTCCTTTCTTTTCTCTATCTGGCCCTATTCATTTCTTGTGAAATTAAGAAGATTCTCAGTGCAAACTGTAGGTGAGAGAACACAGAATATTTTTCCTTGCCATTTGATTGTTTTGCAGGTATAGAATATTCTCCACCCTAAGTATCTCCGGTATCTGCAAGACTATGGCAACACTAAAGGCAGCTGCACAGTTCTGATTAGGTCCAAAACCAAAGAAGAATAGGTAGGAGTCTGCTCTGACTCTTGGGACAATGTGGAGAACACTTAACTCTCCACTCCAAACGCTAGCCTTTCTTCTAAGAAGACTGAAGGTGGTTGGGGGCTTGAGGAGCATATATGGCTCCACATCACATTATACTTCAGGGTGAATCAGCAGGAACATGTACAGAATATTTTGTATACAGAGTCATTATCAACAAACCATTCTAAGTATCAACAAGACTGACAAAGTCAGGGTGATATGAGTAAGTTTGCCAAAGACAGAGTAAGGCTTTAATATATGCAGGTCAAAAAAGAAATTTTAATTCCAATGATTCCATTGAAATAGGTCTGAAAGATAAAATTAAAAAAAAAAAAGATTCGAAAGCAATCAAATCAATCTTTTTAAAAGAGTAAAAACATTTCAAAACAAATGTTTCAAATGAAGGGAGCAGAATGCATACTTGCCAAAAATTATTTTTGTAAGTACTCTAGTTACCACCATCAACCTAAACTCCATACTAATTTAAAAGTTTTTATTTTTCTTTAGATTTCCATATTACACGCTGAGAAACAAAATTACATTATACTGAAGAACTTAATGAAAAGCTGGGTAAGTAAGTCACTTCTTTCCCCCGTAAATGCTTTAGTGAGCCATAAGGGATCCATCCTCCAAAATGTAATGAAGCCAGTGCTGCTCCTAAAACCAGTGAACATGACACAATGTCTCTTTTATATCACTAGCTATAGCACAATACATTTGGAAAATACCTATTCACACTGTGGTTTCAAATACCAAGGACAGTAAAACTCATGAGGAAGTCCCTGGGTGGTCAGTTAATGTGCTCCGCTGTAACCAAAAGGTTGGAGGTTCAAGTCCACCCAAAGATGCCATCAAAGAAAGGCTTTGCTGGCGATCTACTTCTGAAAGATCAGCCACTGAAAACCCTATGGAGCATAGTTCTACTCTGACACACGTGGGGTCAGTAGGAGTTAAAACTGACTCGACAGAAACTAGTAAAACTTTCATGAGAGTGTTTAGCAAGGCAGAGTGTTGAGCTTTTATCCTCACAGGTAAATGTACCAGGGAACAAAATTTTGCATCCGCCCCTGTGTCTTGGTCTCCAATTATATCTGTATGAATAAAACAAACTCTCTTCTAACTGTACTGAAACAGAACGGCACACCTATTAGAAACATGCCCTTGGTTTCTAAGACCTGGACTTAGAGTCTCACACCCTAGCTGGTAACCCTGGGCAAGCTTATCCACTACGTGTCTGCCTTCCTCATTTATAAAATGCCACACCTCAACAGGATTGCTCTGAATAGTAAAGGAGACTATATGTGAAGTGCTTAATATTGTGTCTGCAATAGTGTCAGCACACTATGAACGTTAGCTATTATAATGACTGTAATGAGCCTACTTTAACAACACATTCAGCGGCTCCATCTCTGTCAGCCATTTGGTAGTTGCCTCCCTTCCACATTCATACTTGACACAAACATTAAAAGATTGGGAAAAACATATAACACTAGTAAAGACTGGCTGTGTGGGTCAGAAGCAGCTTCAATGACCTGCATGTGCAGTGGATGCGTTTTACCAAAAACCTACTATATAACCCTTCAGAAAAACTAGGAAAAAATACCCAAAAACGGATCCTCCCACCAAAAGAAATTTTACAGGACCACCATATAATTTATCATATAAAACTGGAAAAGTAGGGTGGTAAAAATGTTAGACTACTGAGAATACAGGCATAAAATACAGGCAGTAGTGGGCAAACTAGAAACTTTCTAACAACTTAGGACATACATGGAACTAAAGAAAACTAGAGCATATTCTATTATTAAGAAATAGTACTTGAAATATCTTTGTTCAAAAGTAAGACTATATTAAGTATATGCCTACATCTAAACCTATGTATGTCATCCTGACTAAAGGGACCCATACCTATTTGTTCATAATGATGAATTGTAACGCTTTTGTATCTGTTACTCAGTTTAGTGAGATGTGTCAATGAGAAGCTACATTTTACAACCTGATAGCTGCAATTAACTGTTGAAGTATTAGCCTTGTTTTGGTATTGCTAATGGACACATATATAAAACAGGGTGGGGGCAGTCTGATTCGTTGCTGTGCTAAAGTATGAGAAGTAAAAAATATAAGTACTATTCCTAAAGTTGCTCAAACTAAAAACTTAATTACTTTTTACCAACGACAAAATTCTAAATTAAAACATATAAATGAAGCAATTTAAACCATATCCTTACGTTTCTGTTATCAATTTAAATTCTTTCAAAATATCAATGAGCAACTATTATGTGTATGTACTAGTCAATCTACGAGAAGCTTAAACAGAAAGAGACTTACTACTCTCTCCTAAAAGCCCTTTGAATGTAATTAGTACAAATTTGGATTTGGTCTAGAATTAAAAAAACAACAGAAGCAACAAACACATTCAATTAATCAAAATACCAAACCTATACAGTGAAACAAAAAACAAGCAAAACAGAACAAAAAGTTTATTTGATGGTATCGTCTAGTATATTCCTGTCCCCTCCCTTCCATTATACTTAGTATATGTAAAAGGTCATTCATCGCTAATACATCTATAAAGTACAGAAACGCATCTGAAGGCTAACAAGTGCCTATCTACCTGCAGCTCCTTGGGGCGTCTCGTCTGTCCGAGCAGCTGAAGAATTGACCGTCTCCTGGTTGCTCTCAGGGTCTGCCATTTTCTCCTGCCGACGAGCTTCAGCTGCTCCTCTTTTGCCCAGGCCAGAGCCTCGCCGACTACAACAGAAACATGACATGTCATCACAGGCAGCGTTACCAGTGAACTAGGAGCAATGTATAAGCAGCACAAAGCTCAAATTCATGGAACACAAAGCCAGTTTCTTCTTCTTCTTTTTTTTTAATTTTTAAATAGTAAAAATTGTTGCAGAAAATCACTACGTGTAACAGCCAACACTTTGTGTATTTAAAATTCTTCCAAGTTCCCTATAGAACATTCACAATTCAAGCTTTTGTGCTACCAAGAGCTGTTGTCATTCTTATAGACCGAAATGATTTTAAACACTTCCAACTAAATGGAAAGGTCACCCCTCCTGCAGAGGAAATTCCATTCATTTAATAGAACACCTCTTCCAGGGCAAACAGTGGAACAGTATACAGAGATTTCAGACTGACACCTGACAATGGGTGGGGGGGGGACAGGACGGGACAGGTAATAAATTCTCATCACCTAAATTTCACAAACTACCGAAACAATCTAAAAATAAACACCATCTCAATAACAGACAATAGCTCCATTCCTCAATGTTTATAAATAAATACAGATGATATTTGGGAAGACACTCGTTTAGGATAAAGGCACAGGATAAGATATGGAAAAAAGAATTCCGCACAAAGCAAATTACATTTTACTGATGATGAATTTTTTCTATTTTAATAGAAATTAGTAAGCAAGTCAGAGGCAGAAACAAGAGACTCTCCAAACGATTCCAACTTGACAGTTAAACAGCAGCTCCCCAAATTCACCTAGGAAATGCAGAAACCACAACTAAACTAATTTTAGGGAAGAGAGGTCTTATTTCAAGGGTTAAAAAGAAATGTTTTAGACTAAAGTCAAACTACAATCAAATTAGACGCTGCCTAGCAAAGACTTCAAAGAACAATAAAGCAGCAGACATGACTGACATGTATGGAAGCCCTGAATTATCTGACAGTACTAGAAGAGTGTATTAATTAGTGAAAAATTCTCCCTACAACAGAGATTTGCTTAGCCAGTCTTTCTTTCACAGGAAAACAGCTCTTTCTAAAACCATTTTACCAAGCTACAAACTAGTCACATTCGTATCAATTCATTCATTCAACACTGAATTTGCACCAGCCATGCAACGAACACTGTGCTGAACACTTTGGATACATGGGGTTGGTGCCCTCAAGTATTAGCCTAAAAACAGACAAAAACACATTCCCAGCCTGTCAAAGGAATCTCAGGACAGGTATGAGATGAACAGCATTTCAGGCAGGTGGCTCAATAGCTTGTGTACAGCAACACCATGTACACTCTATGAGAAATTTCATACGCTCTAACAATGGGGTCGTGAGTAGAAGAAGGCTGCAGAGAAAGGCAGGATAAGACAGCGACAACACCAGATCCCCTGACTTCACATAAACTTTAAAATTGATTTTTAACCATACTGAATTCAGTTTATATCTCAGGCTATAAACCTTAGGTAGATCAGATTTGAAATTCGGACCAAAACAGGACAAAAGCTCTTAAGAGCTCATTTCCCATAAAAGTCCTCAGAAAAGTATTGCTAAGAAAAGTCAAATGTCAACAAGTGTACTAATTCCAAATATTTTACTAAAGAACTAGAAAAAAAGTGGAAAAGTAGGGATTCAAGTGGTAAGGGTACTTTTCTTATGATTTAGAGAATAAGTCATGCTGTTTCCTTAGCCGTGGCGTAAGACTGCCAACAGCAGTCAAAATAGTTAGAGAAGAACCAAAAGAAGTGCTAAAAACCTTTCTACTTATTAAGTTACAGAAGGGAAAAGGCAAACTAAAATCATTCTCCCACCACTGGTTTTTGACATACAGGTAGTCCCCGACCTACAGCAGGGTTCTTTCTGTTCTGATTGATGACTCTGTCATTAAATCGGTTCTGCTGTAGTTTCAAATACCTTATTATTTTTTTTTTAAGTTTTCATTATTATTGCCTTTTATTATCAGTATCTATAAATCTGATATTTGTCTTTAGAGGCTGGAAGCATTACATATAAACTTACAAATAATGATAACATCAGCAAATTACACTCTGCAACGCTGTATATAGTACATGTTACTAACAATAAGATGTACAAAAAAATTCCAAAAAAATGGGACGGTCATAAGTACGGTTTGTCATAACTCAAGTATGTCAAAAACAGGAGACTACTTTTATTCAGTAGAGGGAACAAACTACATAGCAAAGAGGGAGAAGTCATATCTGGCTGTTGAATAACTGGCAGCACAAGGGCACCTGACCAACAGCCAACCATGAAAACTGGAGAGAAAATTGTGAGAAAAAGATTTTTAACTTTAACCTAAGATTCTCAATCAAGTGACAAAAAGTATGTGAAATAATACACCGTATCAAATCACAGGTAGTGGACTTTCTGAAAATGAATTTCAAAACAGCAACGGGGAGAAATGGGAACCAGAGATGTGCAAGAACACACACAACAGCTACACTTCTCCTTGGGGAGGAGGTGGTGTAACAGAAAATGAAAATTAAGTACTATTTTCTCCTCACCTGTTAAATTCAATAACTGGTACCAACACTTTTGGAAACTAAATAGGCAATACTATAGCCATTAAAACAGGCATTCTTTTTAATCCAGTAATCCCACTAACGGGAAATTTAGCTACCTTTAAAAAAAAATAACCTAAATCCACATAAAGATGCTCATTTGGCAGACTGAAACTCTGAAAACAATCTAAAAGTCCAACTACTGGCAACAGCTCTGTGAGGAACAATGTAGCAACGGAAGAAAACCGAGAGGATACAAATGGTTTATATAGAGAGGGAGCGAGCGTGCGAGCATGATTAGAACTTAGTAAAAACATGTATAAATAGGTATTGGGAAAGAATTCACAAAATAATGCTTGTTACAATAAACTTCTTTACTCGTTAGTCAAGGAAAAAATTATTTTACTTAAAAAAATTGTTTTAAACTTGTAGGGCTAATGATTTTGGTGAAAATTCAAAATATTAGAGCAACAGAAGATAATGAACTCACCCAAAACTGAAAAAACCTCAAATTTTTACCTGGTACTAGCACAGGAGCCCGTGGTCTTTTGGCGTGTGCTCCGCCTCAAACTGGGGAGCTCAGCAGGTGGGGACTCACTGCGCTTCTTGGTAGATTTTCTTAAGCCTATACGTGAAAATACAAATGAAAATTTTAAAAAGAGAAGCTATCGTGAATTTAAAAATTAAGAAAGTCTTCAGGTCATTATCCTGTTCAAAAAGCCACAAAATCTTTCATAGCTCCTCCAGCAGGGTATCAGGTTTACCGTTCACAGTCTGACTTGACCTAGTCCATTCATACTGCGCATGTTAAAATGGTAGTTGGCACTCCAGATGAGGATCCATCTTTTCACTTTGGCCCAACATAGAACTTGACTCAAGCTATCCCACCCCCTGGTTCTCCCAAACCACCTTCTTTAAAAGTTTCTACCACAGCTCATCTCCACTGCTACTCTCTTCCAGTTACTGAAGCCAAGAGGATTTTTGTGGGGTTTTCTGGTATATACTACACATAGCTCAAGACTTCATTAAATTTCATTCAGCACCTTATCACATAGTCCTTACATTGTCCCACTTCACCTAGTTTATATAAGGCTCTTCAATAAGGCTATGAGAAAAGAAAGTTTTCTTTACCCACCCCATGAGCTAGGAACACACTTCAACTGAACATAACTGAAATGTCCAATTTACAGAACAGTGTACAATTAAGGGGGGTAAGGCAATCAAATACACTTTACATGTTATTCTGGAAGCTAACAAACATCTTTACAGGGTTAATAGATTCTAAAAAGATACAGCAATTAAGTAAAGTTTATGACTGTCCTATGAACAATGGGCAACCCTGGAATGAGGCCACCCCACTTTCCCAAAAGCAATGTTATCATTCAGGTATCGGGATCTACCTAACCAAAGACCTCCAGTAGTGAGTGAAAGGCCTCCAAAGCTAACAATCACATTTCCATGAGAACTAAAGTATCATCTTAAATAGATGTTGACTTATTCGAAGACTAATTACACAATAACAATTCCCCAAGTCACTTCCGTTTTTTCCCCAGGAAGTTTAATTTGGGGTCCATTTCATTGCTTTAAACTAGAAAGAAAGGGAAATTCTTTATTCTTTAAATTTTGTTCAAAGCACCATCAAAGAGTCTGGGAAAGAGGTGATAAAAAGAAAAAAGTTATATTCTAGACATCTTCTTGACCTTTTAAAACTCAATTAAAAACTTCAGTTCATTCAACCTGGGATGGCCATTATACCATGTATCATGAAAGTTGCTAAGCAAAACAATCTTTAAGTACAATAAAAGCTATAGAAGATGAAATCTAAATTTAGGAAAACATTACTACTTAGAAGTCTAAATTATACTTTTCAGGACGTTTTCTTCTAATTAATTTTTATGAAAATACCTAGACACCTCAAAATCTGGCATAAAAGGATCAGAGAATGAAACTTTAAGTGGGCCAAGAAAACTGGTTTAAGGGTTTCTTCAACTTCAACATAATTTTAGGTTGATTTTCCTACCTAGCAAAGAGCCAGAATTACTTGCTCTGCCTGACATCCTAGACTGTTCTATCTTGGCCTTGGCACTCACTCTGGTCCCAAGGGACTGGCAGGCCATGTGGAAGAATCCATGGAGCTAGCCTAATACGTTTAAGTAATTGGCATCGTTTTTTTAATATTAAAAAAAAATTTCAGAAGATATTAAAAACACACTCATCTTACTATCTGAATTGTGTGACTCATTAGACTAAAAAATGTACAGATGGGAGAGAGAAGAAAACCACCACGATGATTCCATATTACATTAAAATACTCTAAAATTCATAAAATGCTTTTACTTACAATAAAGCACTCTAAAGACACTTGTATTACTTCACTAATACAGTGAAACCTGTGAGAGCTGGAATGACAGCCTTGTTTCTCCGGGTCTCACAAGTTTTCCATCTTTCACAGGGTGCAGTCTTACCACTTTTTCCATCACTTTCTATTAGTGGAAAATATTTCAGTTTTCCTTCTCTGACAGGTTTCCACCTTAAACGGGTTCTGGCTCTCACAGGTTTTACTGTATTAATTAGTTCAAATAACATTAAAGTGTCTTTATACACAACCATGACACAGTAATGGACAGAAGCTTAAACTGTTACAGCTATTTGGTGATATCCAAAATACAATATTCAATTTAATGTACCGTGAGTTACTGCTACAGTACTGAGACGCTGGTATACTTCTTAATAAAACTTTCTTACATTTCAATGTTTACACTGTAAAAAGACTTTGGTGTTAAACTTCTTCTAAAAACAACTATATCCAATGATAAAATGTACATATTAAGTGTACAGTTCAATGAGTTTTGACAAATATATTCACCCATGTAAACAATACCACGATCATGACATGAACATTTCCACTCTAAAAAGTCCTTCCTGCCTTTCTGTCACTATTTTGCCTACTCTAGAATTTTATATGAAGGGAATCATACAATATGTGGCCTTTGTATAAGGCTTCTTTCACTAAAGCCTAATGTTTTGCAAATGGAATTCATACTGTTGCACGTATTAGCTGTACATTCCTTTTTACTGGTGAGTGGTATTCCTTTGTATGGATGTGCCACCATCTGTTTACCCATTCTTGGTATTAAACTCTGAAAGGACCATACTACAGTTCAGAGAAGTAGGGCACGAAGAATCAAAACACAGTGGAAAGAAAACTATTTATAACTAATATCATAAAATCACACCAAAATGACTGATTTAACAGAACTCCATTAGCCTGACAGACTAAGAGATAACCTCAAACATTTTGTTGTCTGAAAGATCATTCCATGGTAACGAAGCACTACGTATACTGCTCTCTAGTGGAAAAGAGGTTATCACCATATTGTAACATTAGCCCAAATGCCAGACAACTAGCTTTTATGTACCTCCCTGCTCCAAAACCTAGAACAGGAAAGCTCATATACAGTGAAGCCTGGCACTTGGAAACTTCTCAGCATTTCTAAACAAACCAAATTAAACCTTGGAAGAACTATATAAATTCATTAGATGGATAATTCTTCCAAAAGTTTGACATATTTTCACAAGATCAGAAATGTTATCCACTCTTAAAAAAAGGAAGGCTCAAACTGAAGCAATTTAGTAGAACACTTCCTAGAAGATGGAACTAATTTAACTTTTTTTTGGCCATTCAGCAAACTATGCTAGAACATACTAGCTTCATAATTTTAGATTAGCTATTTGAGTTTTTCAAAAGCACTTTCAGAAACATCCTGCAACTTGAAGCCACAAAGTTATGCATTCCTATTTTTCAGACACAGAAATATTAACTGACTTGCTTTACTGGTACATAACCCTGTCAACCAGGTAATTCCTAAGTTTATTTTGAAGCAGAACAGAGACCTTCAATACACTTCTGGCAAGGTGTTAAAATCTTGCTTTACTGGTTCATTCAGAAACCTTTCAAACCCTCCCTACAAAAATACAGTATTGGTGTAGAATTAAAATGTGTTTCTCTGCATTCTACTGGTCAAGCAAAGAATACTTCAATAGAAGAGGGAACATGGGAAGTGTAAACCTACAATCTACTGAAACCCAATTAAAATACATGTGTACACACACACACACCACACACACACCCACCCACACCCACACACCCACACACACACCCACACCCACACACACCCACCCACACACACCCACACACACCCACCCACACACACACACACACACACACACACACACACACCCCTTCCCCAGGTTATGTAATGCAGCCAAACTGCAATTATCATTTGTATTTATGCCACTCTTGAGAATGAACCAGAATATCACTGGTCAGACTAATACATTATCTTCAAAGCCTTTGTGTAATGAAGTCAGGTATACATTTAGCTATGTTACTCTCATCAAAGCTTTTGACATTATATTGGTATAATAATATATGAACTGGTTCCTACAAATATACTCCCAGAAGATTTATTCCTCCGGGTAAAAGTGAAACTGGCAGTAAGCGCTACTCTCTTAAAATTCTGATTTGTTCTTCTATGGCAGAAACATGTCTTACTATCTTTTTTTAAAACAAATATTCTTAACCCAAAACTGATTTGCTCTAAGTCCAGGGCTTCGTCTTCTAAATGATCAGTCCTTTTGTAAAGTGTAATCTTTGAAATGTGAAATAATTATACTTCTTATGTGTCTAACTTTAAGTTTGGTTGTTTTACATAACAATATTTTAAAATAATCAATAGATCAAGGGCTGATAATGGCCTTAGTTCTTTCATTTTCTGAACCTTATGTATAAAATAGTTAAGATGCTCTTGGGTGCCTTCTAGCTTTATGATAGATTTTTCTATTTGACATTTTAAAACGTATTTCTCATTACATTAGACTACTGTGAAATGATCAAAACTTTTGTCATTCTGCAGGAGAAATGAGAACTAGTAACATGATTTGCCTACTTAACACTAAAGGAGTTCTCAAAGATTGAATTTTTTATTATTAATGGAACATGATTAATACTGGAAAGGTATGGCTTTTACTCTTATGTTAAATTACTTAAAAATAAGCAACAGACAACTGGACCATATTCACTTTAACGTTTTTAATTCTATTTTCAATTCTTAGATTATCTATTATAGGTATGCTAATCTTTTATATGGTATATAAATACATCAGACCTAGTACATATTCCTACAATGGAAATATATTTGTTGTTGCTGTGTGCTGTCCAGTCGATTCTGACTCACAGAATGATAAACTATTCTAGCAATGCAGTAATTAATTAAACTTCCCAATTTCTTAACTATTTCTTCTGCTTCTGTTAAGGAGTAAAAGCAAACATGAATGTGGAGATATTTGGCAAGGCTCCTGAAAAACAAGCAGGGATGCCGGGGGATTGATGGGACTGACCTAACGTCTTTATTCAGCAAATTATTACTCCATTAAATACATAAATATCTTTTTCCTCCAATGGATATATTCATTTTGTTGTTGTTAGGTACTATAGAGTCCGTTCTGACTCACAGCGAAAAGGTGATTGAGTAAACACCAACTGTTTAATGTCCAGCAATCCTCCTTCTGAGCACCATGCTTTTGTTTTTTAAAACCTCAGAGAAGCTATCTCCTACTGCTTCT